GTACCTGGTACATGGAGACGCTCAGTAACCATCTGCAGAGTGAGTCCTGGGACTCATCTTGGCCTCTGCACAGAGACTTCTCTGCTTTTTTTTTCTTGATGAAGAAGAGGACATGGATTATTCTTGTTTGATTTGTTATTAGCACAGAAAACAAATCTGCCTTGTAAGCCTTTGACATCGAGGAGGGCAGACCCCAAAGCAAGAGGTGAATGTGGAGAATTCATAAAGTGTTTTGGGTGAGCGCACCCTGCACGCATTAAAAGTGTAGGGTTTGGAATTCAATGTTGAATGCATGAATGAATGACTATTGCTTGGCCATAGGTACTTGAACTTTATTTCCACTCTGTCTCTCTCAAAGTACATGCATAATCTTTAGAGAAAATATGTAGAGGACAGAAGCATTTTCGAGAAACAGTGTATCCCCTTCCCAACCACCATAAGTGGTGAATCAGTAATGTTAGGTCTGTGTTAGAAGACGGGCAATTCTGATTAGACCCCACCCTAGATGTAGTTAGAGATAGTTGCTTCCCCCATCTATATCAGAACACGCTGACAGCTACCAAATATGCTGTCCATCGGGTACAACTTAACAGAGTGCAGTAATGGGCTTGTTTCTCCTCTCTTTGGAGTGGAGTGTATGTGTTTGGGGAAGGGCAGAGACGAGGATGGGAAGGTGGCCAGCACATTGTTGCATACGGAGAGGTGGAGATCAGCTTGCCTCTCCCCGCTCACTCTCCTTTGTCTTAACGGTTGTAGGATTCCCATGTTCCCCAGCATCAGCGTCCTTAAAGACACATCAAACCATTATCGTGTGTGTATCCCCCTAGAGCCCAACAAGTAGAGGTGAGGCTATGACAAAAGTTTCCATGGCACCCACGGGATGGGGCAGGGTAGTGAGGCGGAGAGAGTCATGATGAGGCAGGGCTAATGGGAAGCTTGTTGGATGTGCACTGTATTTCCCTGGAATGCAGGGGGTCAAAGCATGCATTTGGCCTATAAGAGGGGGGCTCTGTGTGTGTCCTGGGTAGGCCACTTGGGATGGACATCAACACATCAACCACACACTGCACCAAGTTGATTTATGCACAGGAACATTTCTGCTGATCTTAAAGATAAACCTTCCAAGATGCTAATAGCCTAAGTGGCAGCTTCCTCTTCAGCCAAAATAAATGGAGAGTAGCCAGAGGGCTGAAAAGGGAACAGAGGGCAGGGGAGGATATGCGAGGTGGTGGTGGGGTGGTGGATAGCAGGCACAGGTGAAACAACACCCCACATCAGTTTCCTGTTTGGGAAATTGTTCTCCTTCTGGGGCCAGACAAGACTCTTAGGTATGGCTTGAGGAGAAGAGTGGGAGATGAAATGCAAGCAAGACAAAATGCCTGCAGCTCGGAGCAGGGGAGAGAGGAGAGAGGCTGAACAGAGGGAAATAGGTCTAGTTTCCAATGGAGCACAAGCCCCTCACGTTCGCTTGATCTCGGTATGGACACTTCCGTGGGACTGAGCTTCTGAGGCTGATTTCAGAGGAAGCGAGTCATTGAAGATCTGGTTATACCTTGAGCAAGTTCATCCTTCCATCCTCTTATGTCATCACTGCCTCTGATGCTCAGAGTTCCAAAACAAGGATGCAGAAGGACAGTGCTTTAGAATCCACACAAACGTTTGTTGGTTACTAGTTCCATGATATGATCTACCTATTGAATGAATGGATGGACGGATGGATGAGGTCCTGGTCAAATGAGATGAGCAGATACTGCATAGCAATGTCCCTTTTGGAGGGTTACAGAGCAAGTTAGCATATTAGAGGCTCTGAGAAGTGCTGCACTAGAGGAATTTGTTTAACAGGTCATTCCTTAAACTTCCCTGACTGAAGGCAGTCCTGCTCTGCTCCCTGGATTAAACAATCTATGTAGCCTTACAGGATGTCCTCCCTTTGCCCCCCATCTTTAAGTAACACCAGTTAACGTCTTGAGAGATTCTTGCATTCTATGGGACATGGTTTAGGAAACACTGGATTAAGATGATGTTTTGCCCATCATGAGTGTGCAAACGGCATTACTCCCACAACATTTGTGGGCTACAAAGTCTGAGTGGGGTTGACTTGTGTCAGTGCACTCATCCATCAGTCCTGCTGGAATCCACAAAATCCCTTTGCAAGATGGTTTCCTGAGATAAGAATGCAGCTTGTGGCCACAGACAGAGGGTGAGATTAGCTTTGCATGAGGATACCATCCACAGCCAATTTTCTTAGCTTGGTACTTTAAGGCTCTGGCTGTCCTTTGATCTAAGTAAATTCTGGTATTGGCAGGTGGTAGTGGAAATGAGCTACGGTCCTTTTAAATGCTTAAAGGCCGCTGACATTCAGTACCATGTATATGTTTATACATATATATCCAAGAATCCTTCAAAGCAAGTATGTCTTAAAACTGCAAAAGGACTGAATGATCCCCCAAACCTGTTTCCCATTTCTAAGTAGCGAATACCCCATAAATCTTCAGTGTTTTTTGATTTGGTTTCTAGAACAGTGGTTCCCCAACCTTACTGTGGATTAGAACCAAGCTTTTTAATTCTGATGGCTGTATTTCTTTCCGTTCCAGCTAAATCACAGCGCTGCAGGTGGGAGCCAGGCATATGAATTTTTAAAAGATCCCCGGTAATTCCAATATGCAGTAAAGTTGGAGGACTGCTGGTTTAGAAGCACTTTAGTTTCTGGACAGTTTATTATAACAGCCATAACCTCTGTGAGAGAAACAGGCAGAGATTCATCCCGATCTCCCAAGTGAGATAATGGCGGTCCTAAGACATTTAGGAACATGATCAAGGTCACAAATTTGTGTCAGATTCTAGGTAAGTGTCACTCCTTTGAATTTATTTAGGCCAAGGCCAGCCTATCAGATGAGATTCTGGAAATGGTGGGACCAGAGATGGATTGGGGTGGGAGGAGCTGGGCTTGAAAACGCAGTATATCGGACATAGGTCTTTGTGCCTGTAGAGGAAACAAGAAACCCACTTCAATGTTATGTCTCCTGCCCCTCCCATCAATGCTGTTTCTGTCTGTAGACTGCTGGTTTGCATTTCATTTATGGGGAGACAAAATGGAACCTTTGTGCCAGAGTTGAAGGAAATTATAAAAGCCCACAGCTTGTCTTCAGACTTAATGTCAACTATTTGTCTCCTTTATTTTCAAACAAACAAGTCCTCCCCATGAGTTCTGAGGCCGTCTCAAACATTCCCTGCCTTGGGTTTCCCTGCCTTCATCAGCAGGCATGGCAAAAACGTACCATTCTATGGAGTTTTTTAGCAGCCACAGCAGGCTATTGTAGGGGGTCCCGTGAGATAAGATGAGAAGCTTTGAGCAAGATGTTGGGTTATAATGAATGCACGTGGGCGTTGAGACAAATGGTTTGGTAAGAACTGAGCTTCTTTGAGGCTTCAGGGTTCATTAGCTAGAAACTTAGAAGCAAGGATGGAAGGCATTATCCAAAATTCCCCAAATATCATGAATTCAAAACATTTTCCCATCATCTGGCCTGATGGATTAGTCCTATCGTACATTTCCAAAATTTCTGCAGATAGGGTGGGTAAGTCAAGAAACCTCTTCCATTGGAGCCCTGGGGTGACAACCTCTATGTTACTGGGGACTTGGGATGGGTGGCCGGCAGTCCTGAGATCCATGGTGTTAGAAGGAGATATAGAACTTTCTTTTTTTGTTATTTATCATTACCTGAAGCTGTAGGCTAGAGGACTATGTGAACATTATTTCTTCTCTAACCTCAGGAAAATGATACTGTGGCCTGGATCTGAGCAGGTTTGACAAAAAGTGGCTTTCAAAAAAAGAGTAAGAATAAATGTCTAGGATGCTAACCTTTGTTAGATGTGTTATAACAAAATGCTGACATTGGGAATAACTTACTTTAGAAATATAGTGGGATTTAAGGTTGCCCTTGTCAGTAACATACTCGCATACCACAGTGGTTCCTTGGTTGGGAGGAAAAAATGAGGTGGAAAACCTGGGAATTTGCTTATCTCAGGGGAATGTTTCACGCACGGGCTTGTCAGCCCCTGCGGATGTTGCAGCAGAAAGAAACATGTAGAATCATTATTAAGTTAAAGCAGTGTTACTCAGTGTGTGGTCCTCAGACCAGCAGCCTTACCTGGGAGCTTCTTGGAAATGCACATTCCCAGGTCTCCCAAGCAGACCTACTGAATCAAAATCGCAGGATGGGTGGGTCCAGGTGTCTGTGTTTTAACAAGCTCTCCAAGCAATGCTAGTGATACTAAAGTTTGAGAAGCACTGCCCTAGACTGCTGGTTCTCAAAGTGTGGTCTCCTGACCCATAGCACTAGCATCACTGGGGAACTTGTGAAAAACCATCTGAGACTTTTTTCACTAGCACGTGATGGTAGAAATGCTCCATGGCATTTCAAATGTTCAAGGGCCACAGAGATGGCCAAACTGAACATACAAAATAATGAGCTCTTGGCTAAAATTTCTCCGATGCGCCTTTCCCAGTCTTAGAACTGGAAAGGACCTACAGAGATCTCCTGGACCTGTTTCCTGTCACTAGGAGTTAATAATAAAACCTTACAGAACTGTCCGCATTTCCCTCCCCGCTTCTGGTTTAGAACATTGACTGTTGAATCGGGAACTCTGGAGGTGGGGCTCAGCACTCTGTGTTTTAACAAGTCCTCGGGGCAGATTCACCCTCCCATTTCAGGACCACTAGACCACAGTTCCCATCAAACTGCCCACATGCATGATCACCTTCCCCCCATTGCTGGCTGAGAAGTGCAGCCAGGAGGCAGAAACTCGGGCCCAGTAACATGCTTGCATCCTGATAGAGAAAACGACATTTACTGTGACCTCTTGTGTTGAGCTCACCTAGCCCCCAGCTCCATGGAAGGTGCATCCTCTTTTCTCAGGTCACTCTGTGGTAGCCCTGGCTAACAGGTGTTATTTTCCTCCAAGGTCTTTGGGCCTTCAATGTGAAGAACTCTTTAGTGATGGAGATGATCAATGCAAGAAAGATAAAGACAGAAGAAGGTAGGGCTTGGGGCCTTAGCAATGGGAGCTCCTGCTGCGAGCTGAGAGTGAAAGCTGAGAGATCTGGGGTGGGAAGACATAGAAGTGGGGCTCAGGGTGGCCACTCTTGTTACACAGGTAGAGAGTATACAGCATGCTGGGGAGATGAAGGAGAGCTGCTGCTCATTTTGTTCCAGACAAGTATAGTTTCACCTCTGCCAGATACAAGCAAATGCCTTAACCTGCAAGATCTTTGTATTTTTTTTTAAATTTTATTTTTAAGTAATCCCCACACCCAACCAACGTGGGGCTTGAACTCACAACCCCTAGACCAAGAATTGCGCGCATACTCTACTGACTGAGCCAGCCAGCTGCCCTGAGATCTTTGCATTTTGCATTTGCTTGGAGGAGACAAAGATGAACCATCGAGTCTGCAGTTGGAAGCTTCGATGTACATTTTTTTTAGTGAGAGGTGATGTCACATATCTTGCCTTCTTAAGGCAGAATAATAAACAACTCTTGCAGGGAGATGAAGTCTTTCCCAACACATTCTTTTTTTTTTTTTTAATTTTTTAAAATTAACATATAATGTATTATTTGTTTCAGGGGTACAGGTCTGTGATTCATCAGTCCTACACAATTCACAGCGCTCACCATAGCACATACCCCCCCAGTGTCCATCACCCAGCCACCCCATCCCTCCCACCCCCCTCCACTCCAGCAACCCTCAGTTTCTTTCCTGAGATTAAGAGTCTCTTACGGTTTTTCTCCCCCTCCGGTTTTGTCTTGTTTCATTTTCCCTCCCTTCCCCTATGATCCTCTGTCTTGGTTCTCAAATTCCTCTAATCAGCGAGATCATATGATACTTGTCTTTCTCTGACTGACTTATTTCGCTCAGCATAATCCCCTCTGGTTCCACCCACGCCATTGCAAATGGCAAGATTTTATTTTTTTGATGGCTGCATAATATTCCATTGTATATATATATACCACATCTTCTTTATCCATTCATCTGTTGATGGACATCTAGGCTCTTTCCATAGTTTGGCTATTGTGGACATTGCTGCTTAAACATTGGGGTGCACGTGCCCCTGCAGATCACTACTTTGTATCTTTGGGTTAGATACCCAGTGGTGCAATTGCTGGGTCATAGGGTAGCTCTATTTTCAACTTTTTGAGGAACCTCCATACTGTTTTCCAGAGTAGCTGCACCAGCTTGCATTCCCACCAACAGTGTAGGAGGGTTCCCCTTTCTCTGCATCCTCGCCAACATCTGTCCCCAACACATTCTTTACTGACAGATCTGTCCCTAGACAATCTCCAGCTCCCGAATGTCCACAGGGCAGCCTGGGAATAACTGTATAATCTGTATTGTCTCTGATTATCCCCAGTGATAGTGTTTTTCACTGAATTTAGGTTGAAGAAGGCAAGATCAACCTTTTAACTTCCTTGCCTCCAAAACCCCTATTGAAATGATCAAAGTATGCACCATTTGAGAAAACAGGGAATGTAGCACCACCAGGAGAGAAATCGTGAAGCATTTCTGCTAGACAGAGTGAAGTTGCAGAGGGAAAAGGGAGGGACTGACCTGCCCATGATTTGGTATCTACAAAAGAAGATGTTTGGTAAACTCATGAATAGAATTTTCTAGTAAAGCCTCCCTACCCCAAACACCCAAAACTTCTGGCCAGCACTATAGTGAAAAGCATATGGATTTCTGGGCCCGTTAGATCTGAGTTCAAACCCACCATTCCCTAGTTATGCAAGCTAGTCAGCTTCGGTCTCATTCTCAGTTAACTGGGGGATTAAACAAAACAGTACAGGAGAGGACACATAGTCAAAATGTCCATAGTCCATTTACTGATTATTACATGCCAGATACTGTGCTAAAAGCTTTACCTTTCCCTTAACCCACAGGAGGCTCTATGAAGTTGATTTTATTCTAACCACGATTTTACACATAAGGCAACTAAGGTTTAGAAAGGTTAAGGGGTTTCTCAGGTTCACAGCGACTGTGCGGGTCTAGAAGGAATTTGGACTCAACCAGACTAATTGCATAGCCCATGCTTTCAGGCTCTAAGCTGAACTGTTCCAAGCCCTTAAAATATATTGCTTTATTTAATCCTTACAATGGCTTCCTGGTAACCATTTTTGTTGGTGGAAAAGAAATAGAAGTCCAGAATGTAAACAATCTAATATTATACAAAGATCTGAAGCCAAGCCTGCTGGACTCCCAAGTTCCCTGCCCTTTACCACCATGCTGTTCCTTTAATTGATATACCCCATGGAATGTCATTCTGTCTCCCATCTTTGGCTTTGATTTTATTCCCACTGAATACAAGGGGTGTTAAGGCCAATTATGTGCGAGGGGGGAAAAGTTCAAAATGTGGTTCCAATACCCTTCAATTCTTTGAAGAACTGGATCATTGTAGGCAAGTGCCTCTAAATCACCTGTATTTCTCTTTGCTGGTAGAACTCACAGAGAACATCGGGCTTCCCGTGAATGTGCTTGAGAAACACAGCCCTTGGCCAGCCTATGTCACATATGTGTCCCCGATGGTGAAAAGACTCGTTGAGAAAAGCAAAGCTAGAGATCTGGAATGCATGCAAGCACTCGAGGAAAGCCAACGGACATCGAGGCAGAGCAAACCAGCCAGCATCACTCAGCTGAAAAGGAGAAAGTCACCTAAGTGCTCTGGAACCTTGGTGTTGAAGGACTTGGGGTCAGAGACCATGTTATCCATGTGGAGCTCATACTCCATGCCGGCCATGGGTCCTACCACTATCTCAGAGCCAAGGCACTTTCATACGGATGCCAGAGAAAATCCCACTGCAAACTATAACAAGATCATCTTCTCTCGAAAACTCATGATGAAGATGCTTCCATACAGCTCCCTTCTAGCCAGCAAGGAGAAACATTCAAATATTTAGCAGGGAGTCCCTGCAGTCATCCCCCCCTCCCGCTCCTCCACCCAAGATTGTACAGCAATTAAGCTCCATTTGTCGCAAATTTCACTATGTCCTTTAAATGTGAACTTGCCCCTGCTTGTGCAGAGGTTGGCTTAGATAAATCAGATCTGAATGTGGGCTGTGGGTGGGCAGGTATATCCCCTCCAGCATCATAGTCAGATGGGGTTGGGAAGCCCCACGCTCTAGTTCTTGCCATAGATGCTTAGAACCTGAGAGTGAATGAGTCCCAGTCCAGGCAGGACACAGAAATCACACCAGTTACTATGCCAGAGATAATCTGATAGAAAGAATTTCTAACCAGGTAACTGAAAATGTGGGAAGAGAACCCAAGGGTATTAGTGGCGGTAGCCACCTGCAGGAAGCAGGTTTCCCAAGGCTGGGGGAACAAAGGCGAGATATTGGACTTATTAAAAGTTAGGCACTTGGAGAAGGGGCATGTGGGCTGAATCTCAGATTTCTGAGACTGGGCGGGGTGGGTGATGCTCCTCAGCTGCTTCCGGTGTCCCTGAGCTCAGAGGACATTTCCAGTGGGGATGCTACCTCAGTCTCTGTGGAGGGGAAGCTCTTTGGCTGAGGTTGGTTCTGTGATTGCTGAGAAAACCAAAAACTGGACTCAAATGCTTCTGGAAGGAATTGACACTGCCTGAGTGGACAAGAAGCGTTGCCAGTGGAGACAGACAGGGACAGGAAGCCAACAGAGGGTAAACAGGAAGCAAACCAAGAGAGAATTCCTTCGTTCTCTTCCAGCCTCACAGCTCCCCCCTGCCCCATACCTCCTATGGACAGAACCTCTCAGGGAGGAAAGCAGGAATGTGGTTTGCAGAACCCCAAACCCCAACATCTCAGCATAGGATAAAAGGATAGACTTGAAGCCAAGAGAACATTCGCTTCAAAACTAGCATGGTGGTGTTCTGAGTAAGCCCACCTTGCTCCACCTGGCACCTGAACTTGGTATTGAAATGTTTTCTCCTTGGCGGGTTTACAAAGTGGCAGTGGGGGTGTGAGTGTCCCCTGCTGAGAAACGGAGGATTTCCTCCCCTGTACTAGTTTAAGGCTTGCCTTGTGGAGTAGAGTTGGCAGGGGAGAAGTTCCTGGCTGGATCCCGGCTGTTATTTGTCAGACCACACTTAGCCCTGGTCCATCCGTGCTCTGGGCAGTTCCCAATTGGCCCCAAAGCAAGTGATGTTAAACTTAGCCTCAAAGCGGACAGGCTTTGTCTTTAGATGCTAGGGGAATCTGGTTATGACAGGGAGACCTAGCTGATCTCACAATTGAAGTTTATCTATTGAGCATAGCATGGCTCCATTGGTAGCTTTTCTTTGACTTCACCTGAATTTCTGCGTTTATATTCATGAAGCAGTCAATACCCATCTTGCTTCCCTCAGAGAGATGTAGAGGATGCGATGGGCAAGTCGCTGTAAATGCCATTGAAGAAGTCAGATTTGCCCTACACATGCATTATTTCCATACAGGAATCTTGCAGCAACTTTGGCACTCACCTCTGCTGTGTGAGTAGTGTTGGGACAGCTGCAGAAATTAGGAGCTCTGGACTCATTCCTGGGTTACCAGGTCTTGGCCAGAACGAATTCTTGCAAAAATACAGGTGGTTTCCAGTGAATCTGAATGACTGTATTTTGTGTCTGTGGATCATTTATAGACGTGGAGGCAGGTGATAAATTCCTCCAACAAGAATTTTTATCTCTTCTATCCTTTCATGAGAGTTTAAAGCTAGAATATATTTGGAGTAGATTTGGGAGTAGATTTGCCTATTCTGGAGCACCAGGGATGTCTCTCAAGTTCTCATGAACAAAGCTAGTCCCAGCAAATGTCTAACATTGTTAGAGTTTATAGAGATTTGGGGATTATTTCTTCCAATCCCTTTGAGGGCAGAGCAATTACTTTTTTTTTTTTTTAAGTTTTCTAGGGGTTTAATAGTTTTTACAAAAGGATCCATATATTCTCTAAATTAAAATGATGGTTTTACAGATAACAGTGTTTAGATTGAGTTAATTCTCAGCCTATTATGACAACACAAACATGAGTGGAAGGACATTATTAACACCTTATGTTGTGATGAGAATTGCTCGTATCTGGGACTATAGTCCAGACCCACTGTCTCCTAAGACAGTTTTAAGAAAGAAAAAGTCTAATTCCTTTTGAAATGGGGGGGACTCTGTTTGAGCCCAAGCTGGGGTTCACAGGCCCAGCCACCACGGGAATTTGACCAGCTGTGACTACGTTTGCATGAGACTGAGGGGGCTGCTGGGAAGACACAGTTAAACAAGACCAGCTGGACCCAGTAATGAGGACTCCGTCATTGGGGGAGGGAGGGTGATCCTCAGTAATCCGTGTTGCTTAGATATGTCTTCTGCTCCAGACCTCCCTGAGCGCGATGGAGGTGGGGACCAGTGAGTCAAACTCCTCCTAAAAGGCTCTTTTGCTAAAACCCTAGAAAGCCCTGAGTATGCACACAAAGGGGGAGGAGAGCTTCTTGATTTCACAACACCCCAGCGCGCAGGGTCCCACTGTCCTGGGTCTGCCAGAGGCCAGTGGATGCTTGGCAGCACCAGCTTTGTTCATGAGAACCTTTGTTCATGAACCTTGGTTCGTGAGAGATATTCCTGGTGCTCCCAGAACAGGCATGCAGCCCTTCCGGGGCCTGAAATCTGAGCCGAGCAGGTGAGGCATGGAATGAAAGCCTTCGAAGCTGGAGGGGTCTGGGCTATCCCTAGTTCCTCTGAATGTATTGAACTTCCATCTCCAAGAGGGGACTAGCTTTCTCTGATGTTCCACAGATCACAGCCTCTTATTTATCTCTTCAGCATCTGGAATTATTCTGTTTGGCAGGAGAGTTGTTTCACTTACTCTCCCTGCCGTGGTAGGTTTACGAAACACCCGAATCTGTATTTTGTTGGCCCTTCTGCGTTGCTCTGTAACCAAGTCCTCCTTCTGACACATTCTGAGTAGCTGTTTTTGAACAAATTCTTTGGCTCCTGCTCACGGATATGGTATTTACCCATTTGCAAATTCCACCATTGGTGTTTAAACAGTAATGCTTGACCTCGGCCGCTGGTCGTTTTCACTCTGGTGGGTCTGTAAGGACATCAGATAGTCCCGCATGCTGCAATGTCTCAGTCATGGCCTAGGAGCACGTCTTGAAGATTAGGCTGCTTGGCAGATAAGATCCTCCCAGAAAGCCCTCCAGGAGGTTAACTGCATAAACCTGCTGGTGCAGGTGTGTGCAATCCAGATGTTTGGGGGTGGCCTGGGAGCTCTCTTACTGGAATGGGAGGCCTGGTGGGACCAAGACAGAGGTGCTTTCCATGAGTGGTGGACTTTATTAACAGCCCCTGTGACTGGCACAACATGAGCAGCTAATCTTCCTTTTCTTGACCCAAGGTCCTCATGCAGGTGTCAAAAAGACCTCACAGTGGTCCTCTTAAGTCATTTTGTTAGGACAGGGAGAACAAAACATGGGTACCCTGAGGTAAGGATTTTGACCCTTGGGCTTTGATAAGGGTCTTCAGAGGTAGCTAAGAAATTCCACCAAGCAGGGCATACAGCACAGGAATCCCAACCAGGGATGGACAGTGTGTGTGTGGAGACAGAAAACCAGAAGCAGCAGGAATCCCAGGCCCGTAGCCTCGCTCCAGGTGTCAACAGAGGTAGTAAAACGGTCATAAAAGTGCTTTCTTTGTGAGATGTGTGCAAGCAAAGGGATGCATCTAGACAATGTGGCTCTTTTCAGCGTTGGCTGAGTCATTCATTCCTAGAAGCTTTCTGGTAGCCCCACCCGTCTCAAGAGACGGCACATTTTCAGAGCCCGCACTTTATATCGATCGGTGCCAGATAGGAGAGGACAGAATGGGAGAGTGGTGGGGGAGGAGGTGGGGAGAGCGGAGGGAGTAAACAAGGACCTGAGATTTACTGTGATCCCGTGTCCTCAGAGCCCGGACTGAAGCTCAGGCCTGGGTTTATGTTTGTCAGGCAATCCGGAAATCCTTCCCCTTCCTCCCTCACCACCGCTTCCCCGTCCCAATCTCTTACTTGGGACCCAGAGCCTCAGCCAGCTACTTATAGTGTCCCAAACCTGTCAGGCATGGCTGGGTTGCGCCTGTTCCTGGAGTGAGCATGCGTGTGTGATTTCTCTGGGGCTTTGGGGGTGGGGTGCAGTCCAGGCCAGCAGGGATGCAGGAACACCTCAATTTTAGGTGAAACCCACTGCCACCCCCATATTCTGTGCCTTGATCCCAACCATGACACGATTTCCATATGGGGCAGGGCAGAATAAACAGTGTCATGAAAAAGATATTGGACTTGGTGTCGAGACCCCCATCGCTTCTCCCAGGCTTCCTATCCTAGGGCAAATAAAAATTCCCACCCCACCGGAAGCCCTTCTAGGAAGGACGTGCCCTTCCTTATAGGATATTTGAGGGCCAAGAGGCAGTTTCTTAAAACTGAATGTCTGGTGCTTCTGTTTAATGATGAACCCATGACTATATGATGGAATTCCAAGTGGACCATATTTTTTCTCTAATCTTTGTCAGAAGGGATGCAATTTCACAGACCTACCTCCCCCTTCCCATCCCTATGTTTGCAGCCATGCTGATGGGCAGTGAGAGCTTGCTTTTCCAGGTGCCATGCTGGGGGCCCAGCTGTGAACATGGCACACTCAGGCTTACATCTGGCAGTGGACACAGCGGACAATCACAATCACGGTGCATGTTAAGAAGCCTGAGCTTCAGTGACAACATACTTGCTTTAGGCTCCTGACATGTTCCCTCCAATCTCATGAAAAAGAGATTATGGAAAGAGGCAGGATTAGTATCAGGACAGCTGCTCATTAAAAAAAAAAAAGTGAGGTCATGGCAAATTTTTGGCCAAATTGCATTTTTTTTTAGTGGCCTGGTGAGTTTCTCAAACTCTGCAAAGCTGCCTCCAGTGGATGCTTGGCCCCCAACTTTCATGTTTGTTTCTGTCGCACTGTGGAGCGGTCTTCCAGCTCAGGCATGTTTCGGGGTCGGGCCTCTCCCTCTCGACCCCTTGCAGCAACCCAGACGCAGTGCCCACGTTTGTACACTGCTTGTCCCAGCACACTCACTTCCTGCCTGTCCTTCTGGCCTGGAGGACCGGGCTGGGCAGCTTCAAAGGAGCCGCAGGGCTCCCTTACTGTCCCCACCAGACCCCAGGCCAGGGGCCAAGCTCAGGCCTCCAGCATTGGCCTTTGGCCCACTGGGCCTGAATGCAACTTCCCCAGGTTTCTAGAGCAAAAGGATCAGGTCCACCTTTCTTCTTCTCTGCGACAGACAGCCCTGCTTTCTATCAGCTTTTCCAGGTTTTTGTAAGCC